TCTCTCTCTCTCTCTCTCTCTCTCTCTCTCTCTCTCTCTCTCTCTCTCTCTCTCTCTCTCTCTTTCTCTCTTGCGCACGCATGCGATCGTCGAAACAAATTCAAAATTGACTTCAGAGGTGTACTTACCTTACATTTTGTGCGAGACGTATACTGTCGAGGATTTTGTAGACGAGTCGAGGACAAATTTACATCTTCTTTTATATAGCAAGAAGAAGCAAACAAAAGGTTCACAAAAGGTCTTGCAGTAGAATCGATGTAATAGAACTGAAAGAATCTTTCCATCATTTTGATCTTCATTTAGAATTTCTTTTCAATTGTGGACAACGACAACGAAGCTGATCGGGAGTGAGCAAAATATTTTTCTTCTCTCTTCTCTTTTTGAAAGATTACGTTTAATAAGCGAAAGTCGATGTTGCAATCGGGAAAGATAGAGCGAGCGCGTTATAGATCGAGTTTTGTAGACAGAGCAGCTTGGAATTTTGATTTCGATGGTATACGTTCTCACGATATTTACGCGTATGTTCGCGTTCCTTCTTATCCCATCGAATGTTAGCCAACATCACGAAAATGGGACGACTGGGCGCACCATTGCCGCGCGTTGAATCTAATGGTGCCAAGATGAATCGTATCGAAGTGTTTCCCGACTCTAGCCGTCGATTCTACATACAACGCTCGTAAATGTCGCAGCTACCTCCACTCGATCGTTCCATTTCGCGATGTTACTCTCCTCCCTCTCATTGAGACACAAGAGGAAACAATAAAAGAATGATGAAAAATGCTAGTGTCAATGGTAATGCTTTTAATTCCACCCTTGATTTGAATAGAAGTCAAGCCGTCTCAACGTGCGAGATACAAACTACCACGAAGGTGACTGGAAGATTTCAGGATTATGTAAGCAGTCGGGTCTTGTTCTTCCATTAATTTCACTTTACTTTCACAGAATTCACAGAATTCACAGAATTCTAATTCGAAGTTTATTTACAAAGATACTAATGTTGTTTTTTTAACGCTAACACTTCGCCACTCGTGTGGCTCATCGATTGGCGCGAATCTAGAAGCTTCATAAATGGATTTGATTCGCCGCCGCGAACCAACCGCGAAACAACTCGATTGATAGTCGACGAAGTGTCCCGCTTCAGAATAAAGATTCGCAGATTCATTCATAATCGAAATCTAAAAGGAGTTTTTCGGGAGGATTACTCTCTCACTCTCTCGTTATCTAATTCCTCTCGAGAGAGTCTGTTACTCGCGGCTTCGTAATTCCGAGTCAGCGCTTTATTAGGCCGAACCTTTGACGTTTAAACTCGTCTTATTTTCAAGTTATCTTCATAAGACGTCGTCATGCAGCATTTATTCCGGTCGTCTCTCGTTCCGAGGCGAGCTTAAGACCACAATTTATGATTCACAGCGCGATCGAAAGCTTGTTTCGAACTCGGCGCGAATACTTTTCGAACCTCGACGAATAAATCTCGCGAGCGCGACGCGCGAGCGCTTCTCTGTGAAAAAAGAAAATATCATTTTTCTCGTAGGCGAAGGTGCTATTTATTACTTCGCCGACACGGGAATGAGGTTTCTCGCGTGATTCCGCACCACGATCACCCTCTGTTCTCTCTCCCTTCATGTGCGTTTACTTGTCGCTAGGAAATTTAAAAGTTTCACCACTCGAGTGCCCCCTTCATTCCTCGAGTCCGTTTTGTCGCATCTAAGGTATGCTAAGATATCTACAGTGATATATTCTTCTTATACGCGACTACGTACGCGTTCTTCTTCTTCGCGCGTTGTTATTTGCTCGCGTAACCAGCTCGCGAGAAACAAAAAGAAAATAACGGATGTGCCGAATGAAAATTTGCAAAAACGTAAAGATTAACTTGTGATGTTAATTTCTCTCAATCGATCGATTTTTCACAGAAGATCTGTGCCACACGCCAATCGTGGTTTCCGTTCCATTCTTTTCCGTTCATTCCACTTTTTTTTGCGTATCAATCGATCGATCGATCTATGGAAAATGTATGTGTGTGTTTGTTTGTTATGTGTGTGATTATGCGGGCGAGAAATCGGCCGGAAATGGAAAGACGCGATTCGTAGAGCGATCCTGAAATGTATTGCTTGTCTCCTGGAAACAATTCGTTCTCGACTTGTCCTCAACTTCACCTCGCGCTTTTAGGCCGTGCTCTTCCTTGTTTCTTGATTATTATTTAATTCTTCGTCGTATTTCCTTTCTCTTTCCTCCTCCCTTCTTCCCTTCTGCGTAACTTTCTCGTTACATTCAACGCGGCTGCGAATCGTGCGAGCTTTAACGTTGTATCTCGGATTCGACTTCTACCCGAAAAATTTGAGAGCAGGACCGAATAGAAAACGTTGTCTCAAACACGCGCAACAGAGACCTTTGTGTGTTTCGTACTGAGATGACAAAGCGGTGTGTGCGCCGTCGAAACGTAACGAAAGAGTCAGTAGAAAACCACTTCAAGCTTCTCCTCGTGTGCGTTGTACGTACTCGAGTCATCTTGGTCTGTGATAAACTCGGCGACACTGTAGAAAAATAAATTGTTACCGTATCGGCGATGGTCTTTTTTCTCTCTTCTTTTTTTGTCTTCTTTAATTTACGGCGCACGTTTATAGTCTCGTGATCTTGTTTGTTCTTATCTTCTCTCTCTTTCTTTTTCTTTGTTTCTTTGCTTTCTTCTTTTCTTTACTGAGTACCTCCGTCGTACATATATTGTATCTCTTTGATATATCTCGCACGAGAGTGCATATCTACAAATGATGTGTATCCGGAGGCTAATCCGGAAGATAAATACATTTCTAAACTCCTAAAGAGATACCGTTCGTTAAATCGTCTATCCCGTTACTTCTCGCTCCGAGTGATTTGTAATCGGATGAACGATAGATTGTGTCATGTATGAACGCCATTGGTAAATCTAAATCGGTGTTGCGGAAACAGGTAACTTTGTACTTCCTTTGAATTACTTCTTTTACATTTTTACTTTCGTCCTTTTGAGTCCTCCCTCCCGCTTCTCTCTCTCTCTCTCTCTCTCTCTCTCTCTCTCTCTCTCTTTCTCTCTCCTTAGATTATTGCTCGTATCGATGAGGATCATCTGACATTGATAGGATTCGCGAATTACTCTCGCGTAATATTCACGTCGGCAATCAAGTATCTGACCGATGCGACTTGCAGAAAGAAATTAGACGTAGACTATGAGACTCGCCACAAACGAAGTAGTTATTCCTACGTTTATACTTTGAGGGGATGATCCGCGCGTATTCTCCTGTACACGGACCCGCCGCTATTTACACGGTGACATCAAGGTATCGTTTCACTCGATTTCAGCTCGCGCAGTTTCATCTAAACTTACTACTTTTTGGTTTCGGATATACCCTGTACGAGTACGACGCATCCCCGCCATAAATTCGCGAGAATATATGCGCGGACAGAACGGTCGCGACACTTCTCCTCTTCGACGAGTCTCGACAATTTTCATCTGCTTCGAAACACATCGAAGAGAGAGAGAGTCGCGACTCCTTCGCGAGTTTGCGCGTATAAACATTAGACGTAAACAGTGAACAATCGACGGCGACTTCTTTCTTCTCTCTTCACCCCAATCGATCAATCCGTCAATGATAACTTGGCGATACGATGACTCGCGAACGATCTGATCTAAAAAGTCGATCCTGCCCGTTCGTTCAAATGTCTTCTGTTTCTTCCTTTGCGTGCTGTTCCCGTTCTCCGAGACACGAGGATTCTAACACACACATTTAGAGAGCTCTCTACGACATTACGTTTAGTTTGCCGAACGCTCTTGAAGGAAAACCGTTCGGTGGTACAGAGACAATCGTGATTCGTCAACTTCTGTTCCTTCTCGTTCGTCGCCGACCAAGCGACTCGAGGATCTAGAAGGAACCTCTGATCTTCGATCTGACGCTTCTCGGAAGAGGTATCGTAGCTTCTTCCTCGTTCGAATTAGAGCCTTTCGAGAGTACATTACTGATAGATTATAGGATGGGTAGGCTCGACGGGAAGATCGCTGTCGAGGTCTAGAGACACGCCATCTTTGGAGATAAGGTAGTGCGTCAACAGCTGTCCTTTGCCCTTCACGTCGACGAGACCTCGTTGCTCGAAGCCGAAGCCAAACGGCTCCAGGATCCTCCGTGTTTCGTCAGTAACCTGCGGATTTTTCCTGCCATTTACCACATAGTGCTTATCCTCTATTTATATAATTTAATAGCTATAAGCACTTAATTACGAAATCAAGACACATCTTGCCCACGGTACCTGAATGCAGCCGACTTTTCCTGTGCTCTCCATCCTCGACGCGACGTTGACGGTGTTGCCCCAAATGTCGTAATGAGGCTTCCTCGCACCGATGACACCGGCGGTGACCGGTCCATGGTTGATGCCCATTTTCAGAACGAAATGATTGAAACTTTGCTCGTTGATGCCTGACAGGGCTTTCTTCAGCTCCAGAGCGAATTCCACGAGAGTCGAAAGGTGACCCCATCGGGGACCGTCCTCCGACACGATCGACTCGGTGATCCCCGAGGCGGCCATATAGGTCGATCCTATCGTCTTGATTTTGATGATGGTATCCTTGAATTTATTCTGATCGAGAATCTGTCGAGACAAATGTTAACACTAAACTTATGTATACCTATTTATATTTACATATACTTCTTAGAAGAAAGGAAACAAGAATAAAGATGAATATTGAAAAATTGATTGTATTATATATTATAAGTCTCGTGAAATTTTATGATGATATGATAACGTTGAGAATACAGGAATTTTTAAACAAAATTTGAAAACAGTCATTTGACCGATTGTAGTAGGTGTTAAAGCGATAGTGAATAGAAACAACTCGAATGAAGATTACGAGAGGATAATTTGTGCAAATAATTGCATTTGCGTTTTATAAAAGCGAGTCATTTTTTTTTTGATACATAAGTCTTGAGTAAATTTTCTCTTCAGTAAATCTTTTCTCCAAGCTTTACGCATTTACATATAAAAATGTATTTCTTTCGTAACAAAGAGAGCATCTCCCGTTTACTCAATCATAAAAATAATGATTTTATCAATTTACTCGATAAAAAAACTCAATTGTAAAATAATGATAATAATGAAATCTGATAACGAATACCGCGAAATTTCTAGCAAGCCAACATCGATGAACTCACAGCGTCGAAGTCTGAGATGACCTCGTTGAGAAATCTCAGGCACTCGAGGCCTTGATTGTTGATGGTTTCTTCAGTGTAGAAGTCCGCGAAGTTCGGTATACTGGCGAACAACACACCTACTTCGGCATAGCTCTGGCTGTAGAGATCGTCGTGATGCTTCGCGCTCGACAGGAAATGCACGGCCACGTGTGGTGGCAGAATATTGTAGATCAGCACGCCATTTCTCCGCTTCATATCGGCCGCTCGTTCCTTCTGCGCAACTACCTCTCGTCCTCTCAGGAAGAGCATCCTTCGCGCCTTCTCAGCCTGCGTATCACAATAGCAACATGTTCTCAAATATAAGATTACCATCCAAAATTCTTTACGCATTTGACTGAACTGCACGGAAAAAAACAGCTTTGTTAGTGTAACTGATTTTCTGTGAAGCAGATAAAAAACTCGGTTAGTAAGAATAGAAAGTTTCCTGTAGAAGATTTCTCAGTTAATCGGTTGTCTCAATCAAATTTTAATGCAGCTGGATGTTTTCGATCACAGTAACAGAGAGAGATATTATTCTCGTCAGCGTGTTCTTCGCCTGGTTCAGTTACCTGAATTGAGATTTTTTTCTGTGCGAGTAAAATGACGAATAAAATTTCATCGTCCGTCCGTTTTTGTTCCTTGCCCAACAAAACTTTCCTTGTTTCATAAAACGAGTTGCACGAGCACAAGAGGAAATGTCTCGTTACGGCGAAAATTCCGTAAAATTGCTTTCGTCTTTCTCCTGGTCAGTGCTTTCAACTGGCTGGATAGACGATCGTGCTGGACGGACAGAGTGTCATTCAGCGCGCTCGCTGTGAAAAACCCATTCGATGGGGGAATTAATCGGGGTTCAATCCTTCGATCCAACCTGGTTGTTCGCGCCGGATGCGTTCGCGAATGGATTATGTTTTCGTCCCGCGCTCGACGCGCATTGATCGCCTCGGGTTATTTCGGGAAAATTGCGGCATCGTCCGACTTGTTTCGCTGATGGGCAAATCGGAGCGCGATCACAGCGATAAAGTGGAGAAAGCATTTCATTTCATTTCAGATAAGAGAGGCGAGCCCTTAGAACGCCATGCGTTCTCTAGAGATGGAACACGAAAGTCCTCAATTTCCGCAGGAAGGATAGCGCTTTAAAACGCTCGATTCTATTCACGATATCCGCTTCAATGTGACGCGCTTCTCCCGCACGGAATGAATCGCCGAGGCAGCCGTCGACACGATTTTATGGCCACGTGAGAATTGATTGTTCTTTCATCGACGTACCTGCGCGCCCTTGAGAAAGGGGAATCGTTCTCGCGTGCTGTAACGCACCGCAACTGGATTTGTGCGAACGCCAGATAGCTGACGTCGTATTTCGCCGTTAAACGTTTCATCAAACGCAATTCCACTTGCAATTTGATCTCGCGACCGTTGTTAGCGTCGTCAACTTCTTATGCTCGTTTCTATCAATTTTGGTTAACTTAACCGGCTGGTTATTCCATTCGGAATTGAACCAATCGCACTTCTCGTCAGTCAGAATTGATGCGATCGAATTTTTCATCTGGCCTGTATCAGTAATCGTTACTTAAAGTTTGTTTCATGTGAGATTCTCAGATCTTTATTCAGAATTAGATCGAAAGGAATTTTTCAATGAAATTACACGATATATATGACATTATATATCTGTAATCGCAATTCAAATGAGAAACTTTCATCTAACTCTGAACTCAAATTTGAGTATCTCACTCCAGAGGAGTTTCAAGTAACGACTATCAATATCAATCAAAGACCTGCTGTAATATAGAACACTTACGTATCTCGCCACGATGACCAATGCGGTTGCGATGATGAGCAAGATGGCTGATAATGAGTATTTGAGCGGAAAACGAGATTCCGGTCCAGCTGAGTTTGACATCATATCCTCCCTGTTGATGGTCGGTGCAAGGAATAGGATGTTGTAGCAGCATTGTCCACCGGCAAGGATATACATCAGGAACGCCTTGTATAAGTAACAAAGATACGTCGGCATCGAGATCGCGACCAGCGCGAGGACGCCGATGTACGAGTAGTAAGAGGGATACGGGCACCGTGGAGTCCAGTTTATCGAGGTGTTCGTGGGTCGTTCGACGTCGGTGATGATCGCACAGTTACTCTACACACGTACGAACAATAAGGCGTAACAATGCTCAGACTGTTCGGTCTGAGAGCATTATGTTGCGTTAGAGGATTCATAAATGAAGAATTTATTTGTTCTTATTTTCAATTTATCTATTTATGAGAGAAAACCAATACAAGTGAATAAAAAAAAAATAAGAAAAATATAATAATAATAAAGATATATCAAGAAAAATGCAGTGTGCTAGAGAGAGTAGCTAAAAGATAAAGAAAAACCGCAGTATTCTTTAATAATTGAGTAACCTAAATTAACTTACGCGGATTTTCACGTCACAAACATTGAGGACTGCAAAGTTGACATAAACAGTCGACATGCATCAGACCTTCGTTAGAAAAAAAGAAAAGAAAATGAAAACTAGGCTTGAATTCACGGAGTGAGCATCAAATTAGTGAAAACAAATCTGAGAGTTTCTTTATATGAAGTAAGTAGACTGAGACAGTCTCGATCGTATAAGTAATCGGGCAGCAGCAACAGGTATCGATTAAGGAACTAACCAAGTCCATACCATGTCTAACAGCAGAAATTCGGTAAGAGAGAATGCCATTAAGATTGCGAGGGTTTTTCTGAGCCACGTCGCTCTGACGGCGCTGCCTAGGCAGGTAGCTCCGGCCAACACAACGCCGAAGAGGGCGACCACTCCGGCGCCGCCCCACGTGAACGGTCCCCAGGGTTGAAACCTCCAGACGGGAGCCGCGCAGAGAGTCACCAGAGGTCCACCCAACAATGAAAGGGGTGAGAAGGCCTCCTCGGCACTGTGGAAGGCCTTCTCCACTTTCGGATCCTTGAACCGTAGGGTCAACCAGGAGGCGTGACATTTCAGGTCGGTGCCACCACCTACGAGTGTTTACACGCTGACGTCACATTTAAGGTTGAGTCATTAATAGGACAACCGGATGTCCGGCGATTAACGACGACTCGCAATCCTCATTAAGGTTGATTCTCATCCGGAAATACGATTTTGATAAAATTCGACATTTTCAGGCGTGTGTGAGAGCGACGGATAAAATTATTCCTCAAATTCAAGGCAAGGCAAATCCTCCCTTCGCGCAGATGTATCTGAATATCGAATTTGAACGTAGCTAAAGAAGATACACTTTCTCTTCGCGATTTTTATCGATGCTTGTTGCGTAGCTACCAGTGAGCGTAGCGGAACATTCGCTTCAACCTAGATTGTAATCAGTTTCCGCGTCGATAATTGCGACCTCCGTCGCAAGGCGGCATGCGAACGCATGCGCGCGGATTTTTAAGCCGCTTGCTGAGTTCGAATGAGACAACATTCTGTTCTAAGTCCCTTCTAGTCGCAGATCTCGTTGGTCGATCTTACTCGATATTGTGTTCGAATCGAATAAGCTGGTTTTAATTTTACCTCTGTCGAGTTTCTTCCTCAACCGCTGCCGAAACTCCTCCGAGTCCTCTTTATTGTTCCTGCTGTCCGGCGCGTTCTCCATTGTCCTTCGCGAATTTTCCGCGTCCACTAGCGACGCCAGACTCTTCGTTACCGCCGGCTTAAATGGCTTCAAGGCTTTCACTATAAAGTACGTGACAAGGCCAGCTTTTTGGAGTGCCTCTTCCCGATGCTCACCGTGCGCCGGCTCGACCTCGAATTCTCCATTTAGGAAGCTCAGCGTCGTGTTCGAGATGTGTACCCTCCTTGAAGCATTTATTTATTTATGTCTCTCGACGCGCGAGAGTACGGCTCCGACGCGAAGCTGTTGGAAAATTATATCGTGCTCGCGTGCGATTGCGATAACATCCAATTAGATGGTATCTCTTGTCGAGAGTCAGTGAAATTAAGATGAAATAAAGTTAATTACAGTAACAAGTGGATAAAGCGCTCGTTTCCTTACTTATCAATTAACGAATCTCGCAAATTACTTATGTGATGGAGAATAACATGTTCTCTATCACGATTTATTTGTGAAATTCTTTCCACAGACTACATTATACTTTTTTTCATGTAATTGTGTAAAACAAACTTGATTTTATGTGCGGATATACAAAGAAAAATGTTGTTACTCTACACATGTGACGTTGGTTTAGCGAATGTGTTAAGTAAAATTTACAATTTTTAATAAAAATGAATTTGAAGTGAGAGATTAGTGCGTCACACACACACACACACACACACACACGTGTGAAAGCAAGCGTGTTAATAAGCCCACGAATCAAGTACACCGAATAAAGAATAAAGTTTGCACGTGCGATAAGGTTTCAAGCGCGAGAAATATTAAGTTGTGTAAGTCATTTCAGTAAGTCATTTCAGATTTTTTAGTTAGAATAAAAAGATAATATCTTTTTGTCGCGGTAATATGGGAAACAATATAAAAAATAACAGAGAAGATTGTAAATCGGCGTATACATAAATTATATCGACATTAAAATGTAATTGTTTCTTTTTTACTCGCAAAATCAGAAATTACTTATTACACAACTCAATACGATTTATCAGTGTTTCCAACTTTCCTTACCCGGCCATTCCACTGCTCTCCATCTTGTTCGCCAGCTCGACGTCCTTGCTGTAGACATCGAATTGCCATTGTCTCTGCCCGAGCACCCCGGCAAGCACCGCACCCGTATGAATGCCCACCCTCATGTCAACGGGACTGTTGGTCGTCTGTTGAACGTATTTGATAGCCTCCACCATAGAGAGCCCCATATGCACGCAGAGGACAGCGTGGTCTGGCCTTTCAACGGGCGCACCACTTATGCAGTAGTAACAGTCTCCCAAAATCTTGATACGCAATTGCTCGTATCTATGAAGAAATTTGTATCACGTAAATTGCATCATTGCTTCATCACTCATTTATCGATTGACAAGTATTCCCAATCTTTTTCGAAAATTTTCAATCGAAATAATTCCTTTTGAAGATACAACCATAGCAAAATGCCGGGGAGCATTTAAGTAGTACTTAGTAAACAAGAGTGAGGAAACAAGAGTGAGAAATTGCCGTTCAAATTGTCATATTTGGAGGCACACATTTCTGAATATGTTACTTTTCGCAAAAGATACTAGGAGCATTCATTTACTGATAAATGATAAGTTACATTTGATAACTATAAAGAATTTATGATATTTCTCTGCACACGTTTCTCTGTAACATATTTTATTTTAGACTCATTTTGTCAACCCACTTTGTTAGCGTAAATTCCCGCACAAATACCAGCGCGATCTGCTAACAGCTTTTTCGAAAAGAAGATTGAGTTGCTCGAAAAAGTCAGCCGGATAACGAGGAACAAATGATGTAACACTGCGCGTCGACGCTCGCATAAACTGCAAAATGCATTCGGCGGCAACGAAAAACGTCCCCGGGGATATCGATTGCTAGTGTCCTCGAGGAGAACCTCCCGTTCTAGCAGGATTTAAAAAGTGGAGTAGTCGAAGACAAAATCGGGGAGAATTCACGACGATGGAATCAATTCCGTCGTCACGCCGATCCGAGAATTCTCGTTGGCCTCCCACGGCGGAAATGGAACGCGCGTGTTACGGAATCCTACCATTTTACTAAAATTACGATTAGCATTCAATGACACGCGAAGGCCCGCTTAATAGATTCCGATATAAATCTACGACCTAGAACAGCGTTTCCCAATTCGCGCGCGATGTACTTTTCTCGTGGGATCGATAAACTGCTAGAGGGCGGTAATGCGCGAAATGTAACAAGACTAAAACATGACTCTAAGCGTACAACCGCGCATTTTTAGGACTTAAGATACAATCTGGGTTTGTCGTACAAATTTAAACTACCATAACATGTTGAAAATTAATGGATTTGGACGCATTTTCTTAGGGGAAAACCTCAGCTATAAGATAGTAGCGCAATAAAATCAGAATCCGTTCACAAGATCAGTTGTTTGTTACGTGAGTTGATACATGAGTATCGTTCTATTGTCAAGCGCATTTGTAGAAAAGCTAAATATTTCTCTTATCTAAAATCGATCTAGCAAATCGATTCCCGTCACGCGTCACCACCGTTCGATGAGAATGAGGAACGACAAGTACCGTTCGCTGAGTTGATCGAAACGTGCAAAAAGCTCGTTGAGTATCTTGACCAGCTCGCTGGCGCTGTAGGTCGAGGAGATTGCGGTGAAGCCGACTATGTCGGCGTAAAGTATCGACACGTTTTCGTGTCTGGACATGTAGATCTTCTTGAATTGTGTGTCGAGGGAGGCGCCGAGATCCTGCCGCATCATAACAGCGACGTGCTCCGGCAAGACACTGAGCAGCAGTCGTTCCTGCTCCGTGCTCTGCTCCTCGAACATCAGCTGTGCCTCCAGACTCTGTCTGGTCTCCAGGAACTCCCGACGCTGCTGGAACTCCGCCAGGCAGTAGCTGGAAGCACCCAAAATAGCGGCGCCGGCCGAGAGTGTCACCGTCAGGATCTACAGGACGTTTGTACGAAACTGATTTACGGGCGTCTCTGGCTCTAATCTAATCGCATCGCTCGGCGACGCGAGAACCAACGGCGAGTTCGTCGGGGCCTTCGTTAAAGCATCATTACGAATAATTAAGCAGTGGCGACTCGATAAATTTGATGGGAGCACTTTTATAGTGACCGATCTACCGACGCTGGTCTCGAAAAGCAATTTAAACAATGACGAGTAATAAAGGAACTGTAACGAAATTATTTCTTCACGAATTCCGTAAAAATGCTCACATACGGCAGATTATGTCGGAGCCGGAGCGTTTAAAATATTTTTAACTTGAGGACTTTTAGTTCGAGCAGCGTTTTTAAGAATAAACGAAATTATGTCATTCATAAATATAAACGCAGAGATTCACGTCACGGTTGAAGAAATCAATATTTCTTCTTTCTCCTCTTCTTTTTCTTATTGATAATGACTAGGAACATTCCGAGATAATGCTCCAAAGACCAGTCACAAAGAAGTCAGTACTCCATTTCTGGTCGATTGTAAACACAGTTGATATTTCGATCGTAAGGTCAGTCTTCCGGATAGTTCCACCGTGTCGGACGAAAGGCAATTGCTACTCCCAGTGAAAAACCATTAAGTATCGAAAGGCAACCTCTCGCATCACTGAACAGCGCTGCTCTCTCTCTCTCTCTCTCTCTCTCTCTCTCTCTCTCTCTCTCTCTCTCTCCCTCTCTCTCTCTCTCTCTCTCTCTCACTCTATTTAGCTCTTATTACGTATACCTCTATCTTTGTCACTCTCTCTCTATTTTAAACTACCATTGACCAAACTCTACTCGAGTGTTACTAACGACAAGAGGCACGTGGTGCACGTCTACGTCCAGCTCTCGCCTTTATACGATATTCGCCGCCAAAAGTTTGGGCTACTTCGGCCGATGCACCGTCTTCTTTGCCACATAATCGTGGCCACGCTATATCGACGAAATTAATTATTTATTCAAATCCTCCGCGTAGTTCGATCGTAAGCGTGAAACGTGCATAAATCAGTCGACATTCCCACTTCTGCAGCCGGCATTAAGGACGGGATTGTTCCGACGAAAAACTACTGGGGAGGACTCTGAAGTCAATCCTTCCATTCGATGTAAGGATTTTGCGTTTCCTCTGAATATCGCGTGCTACTTCTCGAGATTAAGCGGATTTTCAGAACAAAGGTGCGACGAAACAGCCATCTCAACAATTTCTCATGATTTCCAAGATGCCTTTCTCTTTGCGACGTGCGTGAAACACATAGTGTGCATTCGCGAGATACGCGAAGCGGACGAGTGACAAAGTGCGGCTCGGTTACCGGTTTATTCAGTACTATGTGCGAAACAAAGGTATCCAGCGATACAACTTCAACTTCCCTGACGATACACGAATGCTATTATTACTTCAACAGTGATATTATATTGCGTACCGTGATCGGTAATGCAAACTTACCTGGTGAATACAACATGTATCAATTTCCACAATCCCATGGCGATTCAATTTGTTTGCTGGTATATTGAACTATATCTTTCATCATAAATTGACGTCAGTTAAATTGACGAATCTGGCAAATTAGTGCGAGCAATGAAAATGATTGATATTTCTTGATTTAAGATTTAAAACCGATGCAACATCGCGCGATCACAATATCAGCGCGATCATAATATGAAATATATGTGATCGCGACGATTGTTTAGCTGGTAATTATATCGCCGCGTAAAGAGCCGTTTCCTTCGCAAATGCGCAGATGATTGAAATTATCGCGAATCAGCGAACGGTAGCGCAAAAAATCGCGGTTAACGGAAAATCATGCATTCACGGTGTCCCTGATGCCTGATGCGACGTATCGATGCGATAAATGCACCGCACCTCGCGTCGGTTACGGTGAGCGTCAAAGCGCATCGCGCCTAAGGTCAAGAGTTATTAACCAAATATAGTATAATTTGCAGTTAATAGTAGTAGCCGCTAAATACGTCGTACGTAGCCTACGCGTTTTACGGGCCGTTTTACGGGGTTTTACCTTTCGTTTTAACAGAAGAAATCTATCGTGCGTTCGCGAGCGTCTCTTAGAGATACGAGACGAAGAGAAGAGAGACAAAAAGAAGATTTTTATACAAAAATATATAAGTAAGAGAAATAGTGTTTTTGTACATTGTGTCCTCCTAAATACGATAAAACTATTAAAAAATTTGTGATATTTTGAGATCATCTTAAAAATCGAGCAAGAACATGATGTGTTTATAAAAATCAGTTGATTTGTTTTTTGGTCAGGTAAGGTAGGAAGAGTGTTTCGTGTATGTGTAAGGAAAAATGTAAGTAATTATATATTTGTGAGGAGGGAGGTAAGAGAAGGGACTTGACTCTAGATTACATAAAGTCGAATGAAAACGCCTACAAAAATGCATCTGATGAGTGTATCTGTATTTGGAGAGAGGAGTTAAATAGAGTAACAGGGTATTTATGTATTTGTAGAGGATAAGACTGTGTGTGGATCTAGAAGGAGAGATTAGGTTTAATTAAGTTGAATTATTACAGCTTTAACTTTAAATTTTTCAAAACTGCTGCGTAATAGAAAGATTAAACTCATTTAACCTTTCACTAGCTAAACTATTAGTCACTTTACAATGCTATTCATTTTTGTAATAGTCTCTTTGATCTGATTTTATACATAATCTTTATATAACCGACTTTATATAACTTCAAGTCCCTGCAACACACACATACAATTACTTTATAACATATCCCCTTACGTACACAAAATACCCTTCCTACCCTAAACTTAAATTGGACTACCTTAAACATACATGTTTTTGTTCGACTTTCAAATGTCTCGCGCGAAAAACTTTTTACCTTTTTTACAGCTTCATTGTAATCAAAATGTGTAATAAAAATAGCTATTTCTCTTACATCTTTCTGGACAAACATCAGACTTTATATAATATCCTTCTTTAACAATGCACGTTCTTTACGGCTGTCGACTCTTTCAGAGAATATCGGTTTTCGAATAACACGAGCGAATCTTTGAATGTCTTCCTTCTTTTCACGCCGCTGCTCTTGGCGAATACTATCGTGTATTCGTACAAGTAGCAGCGATACGCCTCGTTGAACTTGGATCGATGTTGTTACACGCGCCGGTCTGCGTCGGCTGACAGTGAATTAGTTTGTCGAAGTCGACGTCGACAACAGCGTTGTTTCTGTCCTTCGCGCATATCGGAAAGTGTTTCACCCCTTGCTCGCGCAATTAATACACGCGCCACGCGTTACTGTTATTTTATCAAGTCACGCGCGCGCACGACTGTGTTCGTGCGTCAGCCGCACTCGGGGTCTCTTGTTGAAGAAGTCGCTGGTTAGGCGAGATACTCGAGAGCCGTCTCCTTCTTCTGACGTCCGGTGTTGTTTTCTTCCTTGGAAAGGAGCTCGCCTCCTCGATGCAGCGCGCGTATCTGCATTCTAAACTCGTTATCGCCGCTTTTAGGCGTGACCGAAGGGTCTGATTTATTAAATATAGAATGCGGTGTATATGAGTATTCGAGTTATTTTTAATTGCTTCGTAAGGGCGCTATAAATGGAAAGAGGTCACGCGGCGCGAGGATTACGCGAACGTTCGCAGGACTCGCTATTCGCTATTCGAGTAAGCGAGAAAGGCAAGAAGGAGTCTTCGTATCGGTCCAATTTCGAAAACTCTTTCGTCGAGGAAAGGACTCGCTGGTTGTTGAACCCCGACGGCCTCGCCGTTCATTCCGTCAATTCTTTCGAGCACTATCTCTCGTGCGGGCGTGCGGAGGGTGCAACCCTCTCTCGCGAACCGGCCGATCCGACGCATCACGTCAATCGGTACGAGACTCGTGCTGAAAAGGCTCATGTTCGTTACCTACCAGAATGTCGTAGGGTATCTGATCCGGCGCCTTGGAGAGGCCAACCACAACGAAGATGTACGCGAGCGCAGTACCGCACGCGAGGAACACGCAGTTAGATAGCCTGAGTGGCAAAGTGGCGAATAGCAGGTAGAGGAATAACAGCAACCAGCCTAGGCCATCTCTCGGCGTGACGTCGGTGGTCTTGACGAACAGCTGTAGGAGCAATTCTACGGTGTACAGCTGCCACACAAAGTACGGCGCCGCCATCCATGTCCACGTAGACTGCGCGTCCTTCTTCTTCGTGCCATGCTTGGCCCAGGCAAGCAGACCGAGATTCAGGCCGAGGAACACGGCGGTGAGGCTGCGTGACGGCAGTTCCGGGTCGGGAGACGCCACCGTGTAGATCCCATAGAGGATCGCCGACATCAGGAAACATTGGAGGCCGCCGCGACGTTGTTGGAGCGAGGAGGCGCGGTAGAGCGTTTCGAGTCGAGCACTGCTGAAACTGGTCCGGAATAAGCTGGATGGTCTGCCCAATCTCAGGTAAGAGTCTTCGTTGCAGGTGTCCGGCCGTTGTGGCATAACGCCGGTGTAATGATCCTCATCGTCCTCCAAACGCGCACCATCCCCGCACATTTTTCTGCCTTTTTTGTCCCGCTCTTTTTCTCTCTTTCTCTCTCTCTCTCTCTCTCTCTCTCTCTCTTTGTCTGTGTCTTTCTCTCTCCTCTCTTTTTCCTTACACTCTACCGCATCTCCACGTCTACCGCGTCCTTCACCTCCTCTACGAGGACGACCGACAGGGCCCAACTACCTCCTCCTCTTCTTCGCAGTGAATACACATGGAGCGCCGTGACGGTCGGAAGATGTCCGAACGGATTTCCAGGTGACAGACGAAGCCGCCTCGCCGCGATCGCCGAGGCGAGGGTGGGCGAGGTCGGGGTCTCACTTTCGCAGAGTCGATGCAAACGCTAGTTACAACGTATCCAGGATCGCGAGCTGCTGGCCGAAGGACGTGATACTCTAACACACACTCGGACCGCCAAGGGGGCACTCACGCACTCACACTCACACGGGGTGCCGGGACAGGCTTTTCTCTTGGGATACAACACCTGCAGCCGCGCGCGCGCGGGGTGTACTAGCCGGGTTGCCACTATCGCCAGTGGAAGTCTCTCTTCTCTCCTCCGCGACCAGTGGAGGTACTCCACCACCTCGCACGTCTCGTCATCACCCTCTCGCCGCGTCTCTCTCCCTGTCTGTTTCGCTCCCCTGCGCACCCTGTCCCGTCACCTCCGCTACCTCCTCCTCCGCGTACACGTTCAGGCGTGCGCCTTGCGATCCTGACTGCTATACGACCCTCCGACTCGGGTCGATATCAACCACCACAAACCCCAGCAGTAGACGCCAGGCTCTACCTGCGTCTCCTTTATGGTTCTACCTACGTACCTACCGACCTAGCTGCACCCTTCGCGCGAACTCACCTTCCTGATCCCATCTCCAGTTCATCCCGGGCCGAATGACGCGCTCTTATTTTAGGCCAGACACAGATTGCGGCTCTCGCGCGAATCTGGCCATTCCGCTCATATTCGGACAATTTTTTTTAATCTAGAGTTTCTTTCAACGCGAATAATCAAAGCTACGATACGTTTATGAAAACATTCGTGTACGCGATTGAATATACGTCGAGAAGGAAGGAGTGACGAGATCGCAGGTAAAATAAATATAAGCTACAAACTGCAAATGTCTATGATCATTATAATTATACAGGATACATTGAAAGTTGCGCGCTTTCTCTTTATCGTGGTTATTAGAGATCAAATTAGCAACAGAGTGCGGAGGCACCGAGACCATGAGCAATTAATATTTTTACCTCGTAGAATTTGTCTACTTTGGAGATTTATATCTCGGGAATATATTTGATCGGACATCAATCGAAACGTGGAATACACGCGGAACAAAAATTTTAGTTCATGTAATTGAATGGGAATTAAACAAAGAACTCGTTGACGAGAAATCATGTCTATTATTGCGATCAAAAACTTTGGTCTAAACATTCAGTTGTATTGAAATAACTGAGAAAAATTGACTAAGTAGAAACCTACTACAAAGATCTTTCCGTTTCTACAACCGAGTTTTTCGTTTGATTTACAGATAACAGAAAATTCAATTATATCGGAATTGTTGTCGTCCAGAATATCCAAGGCGTCCTATAATCTTCCTTAATTAATAACTAAAAATTTTATACGTATGTTTGTAAAATATTATAAGCGGAATTTTGTGTTCAGTTTAATCCTTCAGTCTACATATACACGAGACATAGGATATTTTGCGTCAAACTCCCTGACATTTCTTGTCATTTGTTGTCCCTAATATTTCTCGTTAAAGTGATTTTTTAATTTTTCTAATTCCCTTAGTTAGAGTTGTCTTTTATCGCGAAGATTATGTCTGTATGTGTGTGATTTATATTCAAAGTTCGATAAGAAAACAGTTATTTGCTTCCTGAAGAACTTTCTCGATATTGGTTCGAGCAGTCCACAGTCGAACAACTCGTTCGAAATCTTTCGTTCTTGACAAGTCGATTCTCTCCATCCGCTGAGCCATCGTTCCAAGGCGCCTTTACCCCCTTTTTTGCATAACGACTCATTTACTACCGCAACGGAACCTGAGCTGCTCTTATTTTTCCGAGGCGTGTTATCGCCGCTCGCCGCTGTGGTTTTTGCCGGAAGAGCGAATTCCACCGATCAATTCGTGGAGAGTCACGGTTCGTGGCATTTATTCGTACGTTATGATTGCGTTACAAAAGAGAGAAATTCCGGCGTGTCCAATTCACAGCCAATCGATAGTGTACGCGTCTAAACTCGTGCGAAGCAACGAGCGCGGGATGGACCGTTCCCCGATAGCCAATTGCAACGGTTGATAAATTACGGGAAGGAAATCAGCCCTGTGTGGAATGACTCGGCTCTCTCTCGGCATAGAGCCAGAATAACACCAGGTTTACCAGGTAGGAGAATGTGCGGAATACACACAACGATTCTTCGCTTGCTTTACGCTGTTACGCGCGCTAAAGGGATGAAAATTGCGATTGCGATATTGGTCAAGATATCACGACAAGATGGTGCGAAGAATATATTGTTTCCTCATTTATTGACAGCATTTATAAACATTCATGACAGTGTCGTTCTAGAAACGATACGTCCATTATACATACATGGACACACTACAGAAACGCAAATGTCGACAGTGATAATAAAAATATGAAGGTTAAATAGTCGCGCCGTAATAGCGCGCAAAAGATTCACGGAATTACGAGATATCGATTATACGCGTGCACAGTCATCGCGTTTATCACTCGGAAAATCAATATCTCGCGTTTCTGCATAATAATTACGCGATAACACGGAATTTTCTGTGAAATCTTGGATCTTACGAGAGCGATCCCAGGACTTCGGGCGGAATTACGGGCCTATTACTGATTCTGTATTTATTCGTCTTATTATATCAAATTTAACGAATCCACTTATCTCGATGGAGACATTTTTATACGTTTTGAAAAAGAGACATTTTTATACGTTTTTATGTCACTTGATATTGAAGCATTCGTAGATCTCATTCGTGTCGACGTAGCCTACTTTCCTTATCTCGTCGATGATCCTGGGATCCTTCACTAAGGATTCGATCCATTTGTAATAGGGGATTTCGTTTCTCGTACCGCCGTACATCTTTGGCAGGTACTCGGGCGAGATGTGTTTGTGGAGGCTCTCATAATTGCTGCCGTGGAAGTGTACTCTGTTACGCATGTTGTTGTCGAGCAATGGCTTAAAGACCGCAAAGATCGCGTCGAAAATCCATGACTGGTTCAGAATGTGTATTGCGTGCGTCTTGATGGGGAACGAAGTCACCATCAGTGACAGCATCATGCTCGCCACCTTAAAGATCATCAACGTTTCGTGTTGTTGCATCCTTAATACGTTAAATTAACACATAGTGTCGCGTTTGCTTTGCCCTTAATTTTATAATTATTCGTCGATTTCTTGCGAATATATTTTGACGAGAGAAAAAATTGAACATACGGGGTGTCTGACGATTACATATAAAACTCTCGTGTGTGTAGGTTAAATCAAATTGAACAAAAAGTTCCATTCCGCAAACAACTATGTAAAATTTTTAGTTAACGAAGATTGACGAATAATTGCGCGAAATACAGTGCAGGATGTGACGGTAAATACACAAAAACAAGATATGGTATACATAATCAGAAATATTTAGTTGTGAGCAGAATAGTTGTATCATCCTTTTTACTTTTGTGATAATATTGTATTGTGTATTTAATACATGAATCAAATCAGTATAATTGCGCGTGATTTGAATAAGAAATTGCTTGGAATATTATTTACCATAGATACACTCTAGTTGAACCAATCAGATATCGTCACTATAATTCAGTAATTGCTTTATGATTGCAGTAACTACATAATTAGTTATTCTATATTTCATTATTAATCTCTTCTGCTTGGCACAATTAGAGGAATTTTAAAAGAATTCTTTGTTCAATTTAATCTAATCTACACGTACACGAGAATTTTATACAGTACCGGTAAAAAATTTGAGATCACTGATAAACATGTTTATCAAAAATAATTATCTGGATGTATATTATTATGTTATCATTAGATATCCATTTATATTATCTTGTATAATATAAAAATTATCATCGGAAAGTTACGATATAATTACTATACATTATTTCTTTTTCATTGTCGGTTCCTTTTTCTCCTGATGTAAAAATAATGTGAAAAGTTTCGTGATATACCTGAGGTGTTACGGTCCATGCGTGCGCCATAGTGATGTCCTTAAGATCGAAAATCACAATACCACCCATAATCTGCGCAATGGGCTCGAGGATACCTAGCTCGAGTACGATCACCGTGGCTTTGAAGATATCCTCCACGGGGTATTTACGCGGGTTCCAATTGCCCATACGGTAGATAATCATACGTCTGCTACACTGGGTCCTGTAGGTCGGTACTGTGATGACGTCGTTGTCGCCTATGTACTTCATCTCCTTCATATGTATTTGCTGATGTATCTCCGGATGTTCCTCTTTGAAGTTGTAGTAATTCACTATCTATCGAAAGATTCCTTGAGAAAAATCAACTGGGTCGATTGGATTGCGCTCTAGTCGGTCGACTCAAGCATTATAAAAATTGTATTCGCGATTAATTTCACGAGTGCGGTATTTAGCGCTAACGTATCATTATCGTACGTTTATTAGCGCGATCGTTACAAACGTCGATAAATCATATTATCGATATATTATTTATAGAATATATCCGCGATCGTATTCATAAAAATTTGTTTCCCGATGCATATGCAAGCTGTGGGACTTTGGATAATTATCTTAAAGTCAATATTTTGCCAGGGAATTATTTTCATTCTGAAATTTGCAATTGTTTCTACAAGAGGAAAGTCGCGATTGTAACGAAATAGTTTATTGTTATTTGAAAATAATAGTGCCAATTAGAGTTAATTTGGTACAGTAACATTAATCTGGGCCAACAATAATTTCTGTTTGTCGATATTTTATATATATATATATATATAATATTGTATTAAAAAATTATAGTATTGCATCATAATGATAAAATATTGAAAGATATTTTCAGTTTCTTTCGATATCTTTTAATTCCATTTCCATGTCCGAGCATTTTATACGCTCACATTCCGGGTCTTATTGAAAAGTTGATTCGTTTACCTCGACATAATTGTGCAACAACCAGGTTTACCTTCTCTTAGACGTAGAGGATTCGTCAATTAGTATTCTAAATTAACCACAGAAAACAAGTCACGGCCGAAAATGATCACGTCGTTTAAAATCTTATAGTCATCATCAATTTCATAAAATTAGATCATGTATTTTATATAAACAAAAAAATACTTTCAATGAAACATTACTTGCACTAGTCGTAAGACAAGCTTTACGTTTGACATGATAAGAATAAATCCGATGCTATCGTTTAATGATATTATCTGATATTGCTTTAAAAATAACAAGTTAAAAGATAAACATGAACTGCGATAAAATTTAAGATTTACGCGGATGGTATTATCTACATAAATACAAAAGAGAATAATTAAATTATAAGATAACTATCGCGTTTGCTTTAATTACAAATGTAATGTTAAAAAAAAAATTGCATGAAATTTTTATCTCATTATAAGATAGATTGCTGGTACATTTACAATACTGAAGATAAGAATCTCATTAGAGAACTTTATGGACTGAAACTTGTTTAACAAACAACTTTTATAATTACATATTTACATTACGTATTTATATTGGAATTCTAAAAGTTAAATGAAAACATAAACTTTTCTTAGTGAAATTTTGAGCGAACCATAAAAAACTTTTATATAACATTTATAAATTACTTATTATCTACTTAAATGATATTTCATACATAGTTTACGTTTTTTTTACGTAAACTTAGAGTACTATAATCTGTGCGTAAATGCTCAACTGATAAATTTAAGTGAAATTATCTACCGTTGGCAAAGTTGCAGAGTCAAAGAAATAAAAAAAAACACTGACTGGAAAATCATCGTTATAGTTACACGCACGTATGACAAATAATGTACGCGCTGCTCTGTTTATAAATACTATAATATATATACGCGCTAAGTATTATTATAAATGTCAATAGTGTTAACATGTACAACTCACCAGCCTATGTGCGCTCTTCAGATTGAAGTTTCTGGCGCGAAGGAATCGAATGAGAAAGGCATCGTCCATCCTGTGTGGTGAACACTCGCCTATCTCTGCCGAAAAACACATGAATCACAAACTCGTCAATGCCTAATAATATAAAAGTCCAGCAACATTATTTTTTATCGCAAACCTATTACTGATTCTATATTTATTCGTCTTATTATATCAAATTTAACAAATCCACTTATCTCAACCCACCACATATCTCGAAAGAGAGACATTTTCATTACATCGTTACATATCAACGATGAAATCAAATTTAATACGTATGTAACGTCGAGAACACGAATATTGTCGCACTTATCAGATTTCTCTTGTTATGATGATTAATTTAAGAATTTTTCAAATTATTCGTTTTCACCTGAGATGGCACTTCTTGTGTTTTCACCAAACTCATCGACATCTTCTCTATTTCTCTCTGACTCGTTTCAACTCGAATTACCATAAATCATGTCGCGAAACTCCTGAAGTGTCTGACATTTGACCTCGTCGGTCTCCCCGAGCTCCCTTCTGGCGTATTCCATGACTTCCGACGTGGGTTCGTTCAAGTCCAGACTGAGCTGCTCGTCCTCCTGCACACCGTGATTGTCATTAAGCTCCGGCATGTTGTCGGGACCGTCGCGAAACTTCAGTTTCTCTTCTCTCTTGGCATCAGCAGTATCAGCAGCATCAGCCTGCTGCTTGTCTATATTCAGCCGATCCTCCGATCCTCTTCCGGTACTGTCCTGGTGATCCCCCGGAGTCGTTTTCGGCTCAACAACACTTGTATACTCGTTCTTCTGCGGCATAATAACACAAGCGGATGGTGGTCTACTTCATCTATTATTTACAAAATATCCGCTCCGATCAATCTGTTCCTCGTGTTAACAGCGAAATCGTTCGTATACAACCGTGGGTCGCAGCTTCACTTAAACAGCGATCAGCCCGCTAGTCGCTTTCAGTTTTATCAGATAACCTCCTTCTACTTACCGACACTGGTACACGCGACATGCACACATGCACATGAGAATATGAATACGGTTGTGTACGCCAACGCGATTCAGGCGAACGTCTCTGCGCACGTTCGGTAATTATACACAGGCTGATGCGATCATCTCGCGAGTCTGACTCTCACAAACTAAAGTTTAAAGGAAATTTATATGCAAATTATCGTGAAAGAAGAGTCACTTCAACTTTATTTAAGGCGTGTTCTTGATCAGAGCTGTTCAAAAAAGTATTACATCACAATTCGCGAAACATATGAATCAAATCGATCAGTCGCAACGAAGACTGCGTAAAATATAAAGAGGTACGTGGCAGCTGGTTTAAAGAGAAAGTAGTATTTTCTTTCTATTTTCCATGATAAATATAGGATGGCTGTGCAAGGACTCGAATGCGTGCTGAAGACGAGATGACGCATATATTCGCGAATATTCTATTTAGCCGCGAATTATTACACAGATTATTCGTATTAACGCGCACTGCTGGATAATCTACATGCATAAAAATAGAATATCTGTCTGTCTATGTGTATATACTCCTTATCCTAAATTCACTACTAAATTTTTTGACCAATCTGAACTAAATTTTGCATAGTTATTCTCTAGGAATTTTAATAAACATACACTAAAAAAATTTTTGATATTTATATAACTATAATCACGCATAGAAAAATAATTACTATAAATTATGATCAAGAAAACCATTTTATGTTATTAAATTCTAATATCAGTATAATAATAATCTTACATACACATATTATATATATTACACACACACACATACTCACACACACACACACACACACACACACACACACACAC